CGGTCTGGCCCTCCTGCTCCACGTTTGCCCTCGATCCGCCAGATCACGCCCTGGTCGCCCACGGCGAGAGGGGTGGATACTGTGCGTTGCTTCGCCTCTGGGCTCGCGGATCTGATCAGGGCCTGCAAGGTGGCCCCTGACGTGCTGCTGAACCCCCGCGAATGTTTGAGCCTCATGGTTGCAGAGTCGACATACCGGTGAGATGGGAGCCTGGACCTCGTGGGACCATCGAGGGCGATCTTTGTAACAGATACCGTGGTGATGGACCACTCTCGCGCAGTGGTCCATACCCGCCCGTCGGGTGGCGAACGTATTGCAACACCACGGACACTGGTTGATTACGATTACGGAAGCCACCAGTGGTCGCACGTTGTGCGTCTCTCGGCGATGCCCAACTAACGCAGCATAGGTGGGGAACCGTTGCCCACAGACCGTCCCTCGTCCCTGTTCGTCCCTCGTCACATGAGAAGCACCAGTACGGTTTGAGTAGTTCCTCCTCCTCCTCCTCTTCCCCACCACCTTGTTCCTCCTCTCCTTGTCAGGGCATCCCGGTTCCGCTCGTGGCTGAGTACCCGTGGGTCCGCTTGGAGGGGAGCTCTGCTGCAAGGTCGCCACGTCCGAGGTCCTTGTCTCAAACCATCCCATGTTCTCGTCCATCGCCGCAAGTGCCTGGAGGTCCTCCAGGTACTGCTTAGCCCATGGGGTTGAACTGTTGTCGATCTGTCTATCGTCCCTCAGTCGTCGTAATCCATGGCTGGCATCGAGCTTACATGTACCGAATACAGCTGCTACTACCGATCCGTGATCTCGTGGGTATTGCGCCCAGCTCTGATACTAACTGGGGTTCTGGGAAAGTGGGGTTCGGGATGAGGACTGAAATGCTGGTCGAGTAAACGATACTGACCTCAAGATCCGCTTGCGGCGTGGAGCGGAAAAACGAAGCTCTGTCCAGCGAATAAAGTAAGCTCGATCTGCCCTGTTAGGAGGCATCCACTTTTTCTTCGGCCCTGCACTGGAGGGAAAGAAAACGAGGACCATGACCAAGACCGAACGCGGAAACGTCGGTGTCGATGTTGGTCATCGTCCATCTTTACAGGGGCCCAGGGAGAAACAATGAATTGACACAGCTTCCAAGATTCCCAATACTTTGCAATGTTTCCCGGATTTCCCTAATTTCCTCTATGTCCCATATGTTCCCTTAATGTAATGTGTGTGTGTGTGTGTGTGTCGATACGTCTCTTCTGAATCTTGATCGTCGTCAGTTCGTGGATCATCCGTGCGAGTCGGCCACGGCGGGCATGGACCATGACCGAGATCGGCGTTTACAAGATCCCACGACACCTCTGTCATGGTCATCGTATTTCGTCCCGTGGCGCCCGCTGGAAGAGGACAGATAGGGCAGGGGGAGGCGAGGAGAAACTGGGGGCCCAAAGTCTCTGCTGTGACTCCGCGCGGCTCCCGAAGGGTGAAAAGGATGGGGAGGAGAGGCGAGAAGGGCGATGAGGGACAGGAGGGAGGGAGGAGAGGACGAGGAGACACCACCGTTCTCGGTCCTTTTCGGCCCCCGCCCCTCTGGCGGGAGCATGTGTCGGGGGGTGACCCCCCCCCACGCGCCTCGGGCGCGCGCGCGTAGCTTCGGCCGCGCGGACGGCTGCGTCCAACTGGACATCGAGCCGATAGCGATAGCGATAGCGATAGACACCACCGTTTTAGTGCAGCGTGGGCCGTGGATGGTATCGCATATGGGTGCATGAATTGCCTCACCCATGCTCTCTTATTGGCAAGTGAAGATACCTGTCGCACAGACCCCTGCAAAAGAGCTAGTCGTCTGTTCCGTGCTCGGCAAAGCCATGGCGACGAAAACTCTATACACATCCACTGCTCCCTGGCCAGGCCGATACCGAACCCAGCAGCGGTGTACACGCCACGCCCTCTGGCTTGGCCAGGAGGGCGAATACCCAGCTCCTGGGTTCAGGATGGGCCTGACCAGGGAGCAGTGGACGTATAGATTTCGTCGCCCGAACAGCCAGCAGCCTCCTAGGAGGCCAGACGCGAACCCTACCCCACCACCACACGATTTCTAAGGGGGGAGGTGGGGTTCACTTCGCTCGGGAGGTCCTACCCCGCCACCCCCCTTAGAAATGTGGGGTGGTGGGGTTCTGCTCAGTCGTCCGTCCATTTCGGAACAACCCTCACTCTCTCCTCCTCCTCCTCCTCCTCCTCCTCCTCCTCCTCCCCTGTTCCTCCTCCTCCTCCTCCTCCTCCTCCTCCTCCTCCTTCTCCTCCCCCTCCTCCATTCCTTCTCCTTGTAGATAACTTCTCCCTGTCGCACCCCCAGGCCAGTTTTTAGGGGCGGGCCAGGCGTTTCGCCTGACACTTCCTCACCATGCATGACTCCGAAGCTGAAAACAGTGACAGCAGCTTCACAGATGGAGGGCGGGCCGTTTCCAAAATGTGGCTCTCGCCTTAGCGCCCCGCACATTCGTAATAAACATATGCAAAGAGCTTCACGGCTTGAGGGCAGGCCGATTTCAAAATGTGGCTCTCGCCTTAGGGCCGCGCACATTCGTTTCAAACATTTGCAAGAGTTTCACGGATTGAGGATGAGTCTTTTTCAAAGTGTGACTCTCGCCTTAGCGCCACGCACCTTCGTTTTAAACATTTGCAAGAGCTTCACGGATGGAGGGCGGGTCGTTTTCAAACATTGGCTCTCGCCTCAGTGCCCCGCACATTCGTTTTAAACATTTGCAAGACTTTCACGAATTGATGGGAGGTCGTTTTCAAAATGTGGTTCTCGCTTTAGCGCCGCGCACATTTGTCTCAAACAATTGCAAGAGTTTCACGGATTGAGGGCGGGCCGATTTCAAAAAGTGGCTCTCGCTTGAGCGCCGAGCACATTCGATTTCATAACTTGCAAGGGTTTCACGGATTCCCCGGATCAACGTACCAGAAATAGCATTTTGGAAGGATCCAGGACTATGCGGGTGCAACAGATATGTTGATTCGCGGTGTTGAAGTCCCAAAAATGGCGCTGTGGCACGATGTCGGATCGTCAAGACGCAGCAGTCAGTTTGATACGTGGCGTTGAAATTACAAGAACAAAATTTTGGCATGCTTCAGGATCTTCAAACGGTTGTCTTCCAACGAAGCAGTTCCTTCAATGAAAATGAACCGTTGTGGGGGCCTATGAAGAGGGAGCTTGGAGGGAGGGTTAATTCCAATATCGTTGATGACTCTTGGGCTTGCACTGGTCCTCCTCCTCCTCCTCCTCCTCCTCCTCCTCCTCCTCCTCCTCGTGGGGTGGTGGGGTATGGTCCGCATGTGCCCTCCTCTCTCCCGCGGAGGTGCCGTGGCGCGGCCCACCGCCGCGTCTCGGCAAGGGGAGGGCGGAAGGCAACGGGGGGGAGGGCCGGGAGGGCGAAGGGCGCCGGACTCCAGCAGCCCGGGTGGCACCGGGGAAGACTATCATGAGGAAACGGCGTCGTCGTCGTCGTGGTCGTCGTCGTCGTCGACATTGTTGTCGTCGTGGTCGTCGTGGTCGTCGTCGTGGTCGTCGTCGTGGTCGTGGTCGCGGTCGTGGTCGTGGTCGTGGTGGCGGTCGTGGTCGTCGTCGTCGTTCAGGGTCTGCGATACCGGCCGTAAAACCTCTCCAATATCATGAGGAAACGGAAACGGGAGGAGAGCACCCCAAACAACTGCCCCCAAGGCGCTTCAGAACTGCCTCCAAGAGGCTCAGCCAGGCCCCCAAGCAGTTCCCAAGACGCCCACAAGAGTCCCCAGGTAGTGCCCAAGAAGACCTCGACGCCCAATGGACTTCCCGCCTCTTCTGGGGGTTGACGGAATGGCGGGAGCCTCTTGAATATCATGAGGAAGCGGAGAATGGAGGGGCGAAATATCGTATCAGACGCGCATGCGGTTCAAGACACCAGTGACACGTGGCAGCTTCGAAGACATGCCAGATGAGACAGGCAACGCCCTAGGCTACAACACTAGAGACAGAAAAGGAAGGGAGGAGGGAGGGGGCAGGAGGGATGAGGGAAGAGGGGGGCGGAAGCCGGGGAAGACGAGCCAAGGGAGGAGGAAGGGGAGGAAGAACAGCTTTTTAGACGCCTACCTGATCAGGGTTACTCCCCCCCCTGGCGAAGGCCAAGGTGTGTGGGGGGAGGTAGGGCATCAGGTCTTCGAACAGACCTGCCCTTAGCATCGAGCATCGAGCGAGCAGGAGGATGAGAAGAAGAACAATAGTAACAACAATGCAAATAATAAGAAGAGGAATCATACTGGTACTAGTAATAAGAGAAGGAATAATAAAAACATCATCATCAGAGGAATTATACGAGGAATAAAACCAATAATACGAATAAGAGGAGAAAGACACAGAGGAATGAGAAGAGGAAGCATAGGAACAATGAGAGAAAACATAACAACAAACAACATAAGAAACAGGGAACTAATAATGACAATAAACAATGAGAAAAACATGAAGGAATACAGAACCGCGTATATACAGACTTACCGAGGTCCGCGCGCAACTTTCCACCCGTGGCGCGATGGGGCGCGCCAGGGGCGGCACCGCCCCTGGATGTCCAGCGCCGGCCTACGAAATCCATGCAGACGTCCGAGAGTTGCTGCTCGTGGGCTGTTTCCTCGACCGCGAGACTCGATGTCACTACAAGCATGCAACCTCCCCCTCCCCCTCCCCCCTCCCCCCCCACCTCCCCCTCCTCCTCCTCTCCCCTCCTCCTCCTCCTCCTCCTCCTCTCCTCCCCCTCCTCCTCCTCCTCTCCTCCTCCTCTCCTCCTCCTCTTCCTCCGCCTCCTCCTCCTCCTCCACCTCCTCCTTCTCTCCCGCCGATCCAAGAAGTCCGCACAGACCTCCGAGATTTAATGCTCGTGTATTTTTTCCTCGACCCTGAGAGCCGACGCCACTACAAAAAGGCAACATTCCCCTCCCCATCCTCCTCCTCCTCCTCCTCCTTCTCCTCCTCCTCCGGGCCAGACCTATCTGTGAGTCCCTGGGCCCGGGGCTGGGCGAGAAAGCACGGTGTGAAACAAATGCAAAGCCTGGGACCATCACAGATCGAGCAGGAGGAGGAGGAGGAGGAGGAGGAGGAGGAGGAGGAGGAGGAGGAGGAGGAGGAGGAGGAGGAGGAGGAGGCGGAGGAGGAGGAGGGGGGAGCAGCGGAGCAACGTCCCTCCTTGGACGCGAGGCCGCTCCCGAGCTTCTCCACGGAGGTCAGCTGCGGACAGTCCGACAGGTCCAGGTGGAGCTCCGAGAGCGCCTCCTGGGCGGCTGGGCGGGGGGGCCAGAGGACGAGGAGGAGATGGTGGGCCGGAGGACGAGGAGGACGAGGATCCCCGCTCGCTGCGCAGAAGAGCAGTCGTCTCGGGGCGGACGCGCGGCGCGCGCGCGGCGGGCCGTAGAGAGAGACGGGCCGCCGCGATCGCACCGTGCGGCGCACTCAGGTGGCCGTGTCCAACACGGGCCCCTGGACGACCATCAGGAGGTCGTAGCAGCGCCGCAGGCCAGCCTTTGAAGAAGGAGGGAGGTAGAGGGTGGGGGCCGAGAAGCTGCAGACGACTGCGTAGCGGGCGCGAAGGGGATAGAGAGGTGCATCCCCGCTCGCTGCGCAGAAGAGCAGTCGTCTCGGGGCGGACGCGCGGCGCGCGCGCGGCGGGCCGTAGAGAGAGACGGGCCGCCGCGATCGCACCGTGCGGCGCACTCAGGTGGCCGTGTCCAACACGGGCCCCTGGACGACCATCAGGAGGTCGTAGCAGCCATACCCATGCTCAAAGCCCTTGCGAAGTGACAAGAGTTCGGCGGGCGGCTGCGAGCTGAATGGGCCACCCGGCAGGGCCAGCATTCAGGAAGGACGCGACAAGGTAGTCGCTAACAGACGCACAGTACTCGACCAGAGACCGAGAGGCCTCAGGGAGGGCGGCAAGGACAGTAGAAGCGGCAGCGTCTTGCAGGTATCCCTCGGCGGTGGACGCCTGGCGCCAGCGGCCCCGCCAGAAGACGCGTGGCAAATGCTCCGTAGCGGCATTGAAGTCTGTGGCGCCTGTGCCTTGAAGGCCAACGGGTGTGATGTCGAACCCCGCAGGCATCTTGGCGAGCGGCACGCCCAAGCCGACAAGTAGATGGTTCCACCGAGTACGGAAGCCGCTCTGACCAGAGGTCGTGGTCATGAGCGGATCGGTGGGGCCCACATGCCGAAACACAATCTCCATAATTTTGACGGTCGCTCGATCCGAACAACGAGCGTATTGAATCGGATAAGACCGACAACTCTCAGGAACTGCAATCGACAAGAAGGCGTCGCCTTCCGGCTCAAAGCGGTCGCATGGCAGCGACAAGTCACAACGCTTCGCGTGGAGAATCTCGCCTGGACGCAGGGACATCGTGAAACCAGCCAGCACCAGGGCAGCCATCTCGGGCCACTCCCACAGCAGGCACAAGCTAACCATCGCGCGAAGGAGCGCTCGGGGAAGCGGCGGGCGGAGCCCGGGGAAGCTGCGGGCATGCCCGAAGAAGCGCGCTGGAGGCTCGGAAAGCTTCCACAATTTAGCAACATCCCAGGCCTCAGTCAGCAAACCCCTACAGTGAGGGTGATTGGCCTGCACGCCCAGCACGGCGTGAACAAAGATGAACTGCGGGAGCCCCGCGTCGTGGAGCCAAACTCCGAACGTGGCCAAGAAACTGCCTGCTAAGATCCCGCTGCGGTAGAGCGCGTCAGGGACAATGCCCGTGTGCTCACCAAGCCACAGCTCGAATGCAACGAGCGAGCGTGCACGCCTGCTCTCATCAGCGGGGGTGAAACGAGAGCCCTGAACGAACGAGATTCGCGCGAGAGGAGGCGCGGGGCTAAGGCCGCGACCGGAGTCAGCTGCAGCGGTCGAGCCAGAAGGCGTCGGCGCGGCTGGGGACAGCTCGGCCCCTGGGCCGTCTAGCGCCATAAGCCGCGGGCGCTGCCGCTCGCCCTGATGTGCGGCGTCAGCCGAAGACAGGACGGCGCCTGACCGCGGAGCGCTCGGAGGCGCAGCACCTGCTGCACGGCGGCGGCGGCGCGCGGGGTGGGGGACTCGCCGATGCCAGGTAATGGCGGCACGGCCACCGCCCTGCGGCGCCGTTTCAGCCTCGCTGTGCGGGACCGTACCTACCCTCGCCTCAGCCTCGGCGGCGCTGTCCACCTCCGCGGGGGCAGCCGGCACTGCCGCAGGCGCAAAAAGGTCCGCCGCCGCCGCGGGGGGCCCGGCGGACGCGGCCTCTCTGACACAATTGGCAAGACGTGAGCGGGCGCTGCACAATGCAGCCTTACGGCGCTCGAGCTCGGCGAGGAGCGGCAGGATACGCTCTGCCAGCTCTCCCGCGCTCTCCCCAGTCTCCGCACCTCTCTCCAGCTCGACCTCGGTCAGAGCGGCATCGACAGCGTCGACCGCGCTTCGGAACCGCGCCAAAGCACGCCGTTCGGCACGCGCGAGCCTGACCGCGGCCGCTGGGACAGCGACCTGGCTGGTGCGCATCGCAGCCGAGGTGGCCCACGCCCCGACTTGGGGCGGACCTTGGGCCGCGCGCGCAGAGGGCTCCAAGGACTCGGAAAAGTGTGGCGCAGCCGCCAGCGCCTCAGAGACTATGCCATGGGCAGCTTCCCTGGAGTCGGGGAAATCCGCGTTGCCAACGGGCGGGTCTCCCGCCATGGGCGCGGCGCTAAGCGCGGCCGCGAGTTCCAGAGACCTCGGAGCGGCCCTGGCACGAGGGGCGGCCGGCGGCACGGCGTATGAGGCGGCGGCGGGCGGCGAGGCATCATGCACGCGCGCACGGGCGCTCGACTGCGAACGATGCACGGAAGCAGGCGTGGGCACATCGTCGGCGCGCGGTGCTGGTGGCGCACTTGCGGCGCGAGCCGGAGGGCCCATGCTGGTCCTAGCGCCCCGCGCCGAAAGAACGCCAGGCGCAGCGCTAGGCGCGGCCGCGCGTTCCGGAGACCCGAGGCCGCCGCCGCAACACGCCGCCGACAAGGCCGTCCGGGCGCTGGCGGGAGTCGCGCCAGACACGGCGCCGACGGCCTCGGTCGCCTGTGGCGGCCGCGGCGCGCTGTCCACGAGACCGCGCGTCGAGGCTGGGGATTTCCCAGGTTGCGCCCCCGCAACGGATCCGCCGTGGACGCGCAATTCGCGGAAGGGCCCGAGCAGCTGGGACCGGGCGTCGCAAAACTGCTGCCAACGAGCCGCGGAAGCATGGCAGCCTCGCGACTTGGTCGGGTGGTGGGGGGTCGCTAACCGCCGCCACGCCCGGTGCACCCCGGAGTCTGGAGTGCTCAACTGCACGCCGAGGAGCGCGCAAGCGGCCATCAACTTGGCAGCATCAGCTGGCCGTAACTGGCGCTCGCTGTCGAACGCGGCGGCCGCGCCCCCCGCCGACTGCGAATGCGAGCCGCCGACAGGGGGTAAGCGCGCGGGCGCTGACGCGGCGGCCACTGCACGGCCCTCATGGGAGCCGCCCGCGCGCGCTCCCTCCTCAGCAGCAGAAGAAGAAGGACCGCGAGCGCGACTTCGCGAACGTTCCGGGCGCTGCGAGCGGGACCTCGCCTCGGGCGCGCCTGCTCCTGGCCCCCCACCGACGGCACGAGCCCCTCCCTGCGGGGCCGCATCAGCATCGCTGGCAGGGCGCATGCCTGCCGGCGGGGGCGGGAACGAGCTAACATCCCAGGGGGGCGCCGAAGCGGTGGGCACCGCGGGCGCTGCGCTGGCTGCAGAATTCACGACATGATCGTGCCGGGGACTACGCAAGGCGTCAGTGCGAAGAACGTTGCGCGGACCACTGGGTGCTGGCTCCCGCGAGGCGGGTGTTGGCGAGCTGGTGGTGCTGGGGGGCGCGAGAAGCGGCGGGCCCCCAGCCTCAGCGGACGCCGCCGCGTCGCCCTGATCGCCGGGGAATGGCGATTCCTGACGGCTGGTCGCAAGGTGCCCGTGCGGGCCCGCGCCCGCGGCAGGGCGGCGAGCCAGAACCAGGAGCGCGAACCTGCCCCACAGACACGTCGGGCACGCGGAAGCAGCATCGGCAGCCGCTATCACGTCGAATCGCTCGAACCGACCCTCGTCAATATCCGACAGCCAAGCAGGCTCGACACGCGAGGGAGGGCGGACGGGGCGATTGCGCGTGGGGTCGTCCGCTCGATGGACATCGGTCGGGACGTAAAGCCCGCCCATGTAGAGCCCGCCTCCCAGGATGTAGGGCAAGCAGGTGCTCAACACATGCGAAAGTCCGGGACTGCTGCTCCGACCGTGGGCCGCCGCGCCTAGTGCCACTTGGGAGTCCAAGAGAACAGGGATCCGGGAGTCGGGGTTGCGGACGCAACAGTATTTGCACAGACTCTTGAACACTGTAGTCTCAGGGATATTGATATGGCGACGCATGCGGAACTCCCACTTATACGCCAACCGAAACCGCAGAGCCTCCGACAGCTCACTGATCCAGCGCGGCGCGATGGGGAGCTCAAGAAAAGGGAGCCCCGCCTCGCGGCGCAGCTGGGTCAGCTCGGGGCCCAGGAAGTGCCCGCGGCTCAGGACCATGAGCAAGTGACGGTCGGGAAGACGAGTATGCCAGCCGCCGTGCTCGGAGCGCCGCCACAATTCTTGTGACAGGTGCGATGCGAACTGATGTCGCTGCGGACCACCCCGCCCCAGCCGAGGGAGGCATCCGTGCCGAACACTTCAGGGCAAGGCGTCGCCCTAAGGTCGGTCATCGCAACAAGAGCCAGGTAGGCACAGGCCTGCAATTCGTCGCGAACCGAGGGCGGGAGCTCATATTCGAGCCCGTCGTCGGGAAGGGTCGAGATGAAGGTGTAGATGTGAGTGAATATCGACAGGATGGGACGTCGATACAAAAACACCTGCACCCAACAACCCACGAGCGAGCTCAGCAACGCCCGAGTCGAGCGACCGAGGAATACCTGAATCAGGGTCAGGCGGCAGAGGGCCACAGTGCGGACCAGGGGAGCACACACTATGCCGATCCTGCCCTCCACCTCGGCGCCGACCACGACCTTGTGGGTTTCGCCCCTGGCCCTCTTGCCGGGGTGCTGAATGAGGCCCACCTGGGGGTAGCCGCGATCACACGCAGCAAAAAACCTCCCTGTCGCGGCGTGTCGGGTCGTCGGGGCGCGGGGCGCTCCCGCGCCACGAGAGCTTCTGAAAGCCCGTGTGGTCGTCGATGTTTAACATCTCGACGTAGGGCCCCCGAGGGAACGGCAAGCGATGCACGGCCTGCTCGGAAGGCCGCAGC